AATGCATCTAGTCTGCAGTTGCCCCCTGGTGCTCCCCATAGTGTTGAGCCCTGCCCAGGGCAGCCCAGACCTTGCACCAGCCAGTGTGCACAGCTTCTTGGCAGGGCTGCTCCTCCTGTGGCTGCAGCTGCCCAGGTACTGCTCAGTTCCCCCTGCCTCCAGTGGCTCCTCCTCCTTCTGCCCCTGCTGTCCCATTTTGGGCAGCAGGTAGCATGGGGAAGGGCAAAGGCCATGGAGGTATGTGCTAGGCACCACATGTCCTGCCAGGCGGCTACTGCCCTAGTGCACAGGGCTCCAGCTCCCAGCCTCCTTCTACCCACTCCACCACCCGCAGATGGCAGCTCTGTGTGCTAGGTGATTAAGATATGTTATAGTAGATGTTTGATTTTTACCACATGATTTGTCTTTTATCTATACTTTGTTAAAATGATATCTTATGAAAGATTTTATGTCTGTGGCCCTCAACAGCTCACCAAAACTCATTAAGTGGCCCTTCAGCTGAAATATTTACCCACCTCTGCTTTAAAAGCTAGACTCAGTCTGCAATACTCTGTCCAGGAAAAGATTTAGGCACTTACTCTTGACCCTTGTCTTGACTCTTGACTCTTCCTTGCTTCACTTACCAGATCTCAGGTTTTAACTCTTGGCTTCAGATTCTGGTTCTTACTCTTGGCATATTCTGATGCCAGCTTTATCTCCTGACTCCAGTTCCAACTTCTGGTGTATCCTGACTCCCAGCTCCCTGAGAACCCAGTCCCTGGACTTTGCCTGTATGTCAGGGGACCATCCCTGATTGCCCACACACTGATCCCTAACGATACCTGGCATGCATGCCTACCAGTCCAAAGCCAAGAACAGTCTGTAAACTCTGCCCACCTTGAACAAACTAAGATTTTGTGGGATTTAGCATTTGAATCCCCTTATAGCAATTGGGTAAATATCCACCAAAGGAAGCTTGAGTGGAGCTGTATCTTTCCTCACAGTATAAAATATGTTTCTGTATAGTGAAAAGAGTGAACAATTTTTAAGGCTATGGTAAATGAAGGAAGAAATAATAGTTTTGACTGAGTCCAATTCTGGGCTCCACAATTTGGAAAGGATGTAGAGAAGCTTGAAAGAGTCCAGAGAAGAGCCATGTGCATGATCAGAGGGCAAGAGAACAGGCCTTAGGAAGAGAAGCTGAGAGCCATGGGACTCTTCAGCCTGGAGAAGTGTAGGCTTAGGGGGGGACTTGGTGGCAGCCTATAAGTACATAAGGGGTATGCATCAGGAACTGGGAGAATGTCTGTTCACAAGGGCACCCCATGGGAAGACGAGGTCCAACAGTTACAGACTCCTGGATGACCATTTTAGGTTAGACATAAGGAAAAACTTCTTTACTGTCTGAGTCCCCAATGCCTGGAATACACTCCCTCCAGAGGTGATGCAAGCACCTGCTCTGGATACCTTCAGGAAACATTTAGATGCCTATCTTGCTGCGATCCTTTGACCCTAGCTGCCTTCCTGCCCCTTGGGCAGGAGGCTGGACCTGATGATCTTGCGAGGTCCCTTCCAGCTCTAATATGTATGAAATCTATGAATAATTTGAGAGTCCCTCAGTGAAAAGTCCTGTCTCTAGCTTCCTTATGATTAAAGCAGGATGTTTAATTTTAGGCACTTCCCCTGATAAACAGCCATACATGAAGAAGAATCTAGTCTCCAAGGTGGTTGCATTTGAATTTAAAGCTTGTGCTGTTTAATATTGCAGGTTCATTAACCCCATAATCTGATAGACTCTTATGAAATGAATTATAAAAATGTTGCCATGACTTCTGTTACTTTTTTGTATGAGTTGCATCAGTTACTTGTATGACCGGTGTGATACACACTTTAAAATGCCTTCACTGTCCCATAACAGCTCCAGAACATATTTTATCTGTATGTTTGAGATTTCTTCCACTTCTGTTAATGTACGCAATATTTTATTTGCACCCCACCAGCTTACTTTGTAGTGCCAAGTAATAAAGTATGAAACCAAAATTAAAAAATGAAGTGCCTAAAATTAGGCACCTTGGTTTTAATTTACAACTTACTGAGCATCTACACATGCAACTAATATGAAGCAATGAATTCCTGAGCTTATTGCTCCAGAGTTTATTGCTCCCCAGTAAGCCATTTGAACATGTGCCCGGGACCGCAGCATATTGAGATGGCTTGGTGCAGCCCTGGCTGACAGGGGGTCCCGGGGCTCAGCCTGCCAGCCTGGGGCTATTTCCCCTGCCTCAACATGCTGCACAAGGGTGCTCCAGTGCAGGGCTAGCTGGCAGGCACCCCCTGCATTGAAGCACCCTCATGCCCCAGCCCCTTGGGCAGCATCTGAACGTGTGCTGCTGCAGAGTAAGAAACTCCACAGCAGGATAGTACTTGTATTCAGAATTAATTAACCTGCTTCAGAGTTGATTAGTAGGACTGTGCGATATTTTGGCAGACATTTCATTTCGGAGGTGTTTTGGCCTGCTTCGGCGCCCGAAACACCGAAATGAAACGGAAGGCTCTGAAACATCTCTGAAACAAAACGAACCCATCCGAAAAGTTTCAGAAATGTTTTGAATCTGGGCTTGCAGGGAAACAGAAACTAAGAAGAGAGAGGGGGAAGAGTGGGGTGGGGAGGGACTTCTCTGATCTTGACGTCTTGGCATCCTTAGCTGGCCAGTGTCTATGATCTGTCCCTGAGGTCCCTTCCAATCCCAGTACTCTGGGGGAGGGATGGCAGCCTACTATCATCCTGCGTACAGATCCGGGGGCCTGTGTCCCCTGGGAGGGGTCTAGCACAGCCTCACAGCCCTCCCAGGGGCCACGGGCCCCTGGATCTGTGTGCGGGATGACAGCATGCTGCTGGCTGGGGCCAGCACCTGAGTCTGTTCGGTGCAGCCCATGCTGAGCACAGCCGGGGGAACCATGATAGCCCCCAGGGCTGCCCTGTCTGGCCCAGCATCCCAGCACTTAAAGCCCCACACTCACTGGCTGTAGTGGGGGCTCTGGGGCCATGTGGCAGAGCCCCCCCCACACAGCCCCCACTCTGTGATCTCTCTCCCCCCACTGCCCAGCTCCACCCCTGATGGCCCCCCAGCATCCCAGCACATTAAAAAAAACCCCCAACAACAAAAACCCCCCTGCACTCACCAGCTGCAGCAGTGGGGATCAGGGCCTCTGCGGGCTTGTGGCATAGCTCTCCCGCACCATGTGGGGCAGTGGGGATTGCCCCCCCACTTGGTACCTGCATAGTAGCTGACCCATGGCATGGGTGCAGTGTGGCTCAGCAGGGTGCTGTCTGGGAGCTGGGGCCATTGGGGCTGAGTGGTGCTGGGCTCTAGCTGACACATGGAGCTGCCACAGCTCCCAGACAGCACGTGGAGTCCTGCAGTGCCCTGCTGAGCTGTGCTGCACTTGCATAGGGCAGCTACCACGTGTGTGGGGGGGGGAGGGGTGTCAATCTCTGCTGTCTCCCACTGCCCTGCACTGTGTGTGGGGGGAGGAGAGGGGGGCTCTGCCACGAGCCCTCAGAGGCCCTGCTTCCCCACTGTTAGAGCCAGTGAGTGCTGGGCTTATTTTTTTATTTGTATTTTTTATTTTTTTTAAGTGCTGGGACTAAGCTGAGGTCGGGTGGGGGATGGTGCCGTGCAGGGCAGCCATGGGGGCTTCTCCCATGGCTCCCCCTGCCTGGGGAAAGGCAGGCACAGCCAGAGGAGCCATGGGAGAACCCACGGGAGCTATGCCTGCCTCTCGCTGGCTAATCCGAATCTCCGAAACAGCGTTGAACGTCTGAAACAGATTCGGCGAAATCGAAATGGAGCAGCGATCCGAAACACTGAAATGAATCACTGTCCTCTGAAATGGCTGAATCTGAAATTGAAACGAGATGTAGCCATTTTGCACAGCCCTATAAATTAGTTTACCCCAGCGTAATAGGGGCGCATGTGTAGACTTGCGACATATACTGCACAGCTAATTAGTGTACTCTGCAGTAAGTGTCTTGTGTGGACGTGACCACTGAGTAGCAACAATTCCATCTGTTGATTTGGTGTCAGTGGAAGCAGAAGATGCTCAGCACCCTTATAAAATTGAGCCATTTTTGAGCCTTCTCTAAAGCCCACTAAAATCAGGAGTCTTTTGGCTGACTTCAGTGTGCTTTGGTGGTTAGACCAGAATTTCTAACTTCTAGATACTCAAGTTTAAGTCTGTGGCCTTAATAGCTAATGGAATCTGTTCCTGAGAAGGTATTTATCATGTTAAATTCAGTGGGTACATTCTTCTGTGTGAGAACTGCCCCAGTGTTCTGCACAGAGGCTGAGCAGCTGCTCAGGAGGTTAAATGAATTCCCTATGAGCCGTGAAAAGGAAGTTCTTCATTACTTGCTGGGTAAAACTGCGTGCTAAGTTTAATTGCATGCAGGCTAGGAGAGGAACTCCAGATCTTCATATGCATTAATCCATTTGCTCATACTTTGCACAGCTGGCGTGGAGGGACTCCAGTTGCTATTCCAGCCCATAGGAGCTGCAGCCGCTTCAAAGCCAGAAGTCCTCCATCAGGACTTGGAAAAAATGGGGTTAATTTTTTGAACTGTTTAACACTCTGCCTGCATTGAGGCAATTAAGCTGACTTGCTTGGAGATGAAATGGGTTATACTCAAGGCAGGTGCAGGAATCAGCATCTCTCATAACCAGGCCTAGAACTTGTATATCATTATAACATCTTTATGCACAAATAAACTAGACTTGCTGCAGAATGTATTGAGACTGATTCTGAAGAATAATTGCTTTACAATATATGAGTTGTATCAGGTTATTAATGTAGTAAATGTTTTCAGCAGTATTATATCTATTTTGAAAACTTTTAAATGCTGTGTTCAGGTATGTGAATTCATTCATTTTTTCTAAAGTATGACGACAGTAAATAACCAAATGCAAGAAATCTTTTCAATTCAGGAAATATGCAAGTAAAGAATTGTCCCTTATTTACAGCAAACTGCATTCAAAGAATGAGAAGAACACCTCCTCTGGATGAACTGCAGCCTCCACCATATCAGGATGATAGTGGTTCTCCTCACCTCTCCTGTACACCCTCTGAAGTTGGTGATGGTAAATGTGAATTTTCCCACTGTAACAACAGCCCAAGATGTTCATACAAGTGCCCAAGTGAGGGAAGCACTGGACATGAAATAGAAAGTTTTCATAATAAAGGATATGAAGAGGATGTACCCAGTGATAGTACAGCTGTCCTTAGCCCAGAGGTAAATGATAGTTTAGTGTTCATATATAGTTATCTTAGATTTAGTGCGATGGCATCTTAATGTAAGATTTTTTTGAGACTGTCTTGCTTTTGTTGCACATCTTACAAAGTATAAATGCATGGTAATTGCAAAAATCACCCATAAAGAGAGGAATATATTTTGTGAAATAATACAGTACTATAGTTTTAAATTTATTTGTGTGCTGATATCTTTAGTATTTCATTTGAAAGCAACCCGTCCTCAGGATGACTTATTTTAAAATTAAGTAAAATATAGAAACCTCATTTTGATATATTATTATTTAAAGGGACTAAATAGAAACAGTTTGTTCTTATTGCAATTTTAATTCTATAGCTTAGCAATAAATCAATTTAAATTACATTTCTTTTAGTATCTTTAATATTATACATGCCCGGGACCACAGCATTTTGAGACGGGTCGGTGCACACCTGGCTTACAGGGGGCCCTAGGGCTCAGCCTGGCATCTTGGCACATTGTGAACAATCCTGGATTAAAAAAATATATATATATTGAGTATACTTCTATCATCAGCAATGTAATAAATTTGGGGTAAAATTCTCCTTTCTCCTTTTTGTAATTTGTAATGATTATTCATTAGAAAATCTATTTATTTTTATTATTCAAAATCCTTTTTCCTGTAATAGTTGGCTATTTATATTTAAAACTTACAGCTGTATTGACGCTGATAAAAGGAAAATTGTCAGCATTGGCAATTGGCTTTTTTTTTTTTTTTTTAGCTGATTTGACCAATAATGTTGCTGATAAATGCTGTGGAGGGTGGGGTGGCTCCCGCCACTGCATACACCCCCGGGAGAGGTATGGGAGGCATGTGCCCTCTGGATCTCTGCACAGATCGAGGGTGGGCTACTGCTGTGGGCTGGGGGCAGCACTGGGCTCTTCCCAGTGGGAAGAGCTCGGTATTGGGCTGGGGCTGGGCTGGGGCTGCATTTGGGCCCAGGCACTGTGAGGTGGCTCTACAGGTGGTTTATGGTGAATTTTAGAGTGGCTGCAGTCCACCCCGTAGTCCCCCCTTCCAGTGCTGCTGCTGCCCACTCCGAGTGCAGCCCCAGCCCAACCCTCTTGCTGGGAAGAGCCCGGTGCCACCCCCAGCCCCAAAGTGCAGTGGCAGTCCGCCCTTGACCCATACACAGATCTGTGGGGCACACATCCTCCATGGCTCCTCTGGGGATGTGCGTAGCTCTGGGATCCGCAACCCCTAGACAAGCCTCTCACAGCTCCATCCTGCACACTGCAGCCCTGGC